CGCTTCAAGCAACTTAAAGAAGTCCAGACGCTTTTCTTTGCAAGCTCCTTTGACTACGATGACCTGGATGACTGAGAACCTTCACAGACTTAAGCCCAGGCTGCTTTGATAGCCACCTTCAACTCATTTCTTTTAGGTCAAGGTCACTCGAGGGCAATATCTGTCTGCTGATAGTAATATCATGGTCAGCAAACCCTTTGGTCGTAATGTTGGTGCTGTGGGGAGGTGTTGCGTCCTGCTGGAAAAGCAAAATCGTCACCTCCATAACGTTTTGTCAGCAGATGGAAGCATGAAGTGCACTAAAATCTCACAGTAGCTGGGTAGCTTTGGACCAACCACCACCAAAACCAGAACCCCAAAACATCAGAGGCCCCTGAACCTTCACACTGGACCTTAAACACCTTGGAGTCTATGCCTCTCCACGCTTGGTCCGTACTCTTAGACATTCATTTCCAATGAAGTTTCCCATTTTCAATTTCCAAATGAAATATAAAATTTAGTTTTATGTGAATAAATGACTTTGAACCACTGAGTAACAATCCTGTTCTTGTGCCTTTTCCCAGATAGATGCTTCTGACGGTGTTTGTGACTCAGGCCTGGCTTGATATCAGGAATCTGACCGTTGTACAGTAGCACCTTTCCTGAGGCCCCACATTTGTTGTGGCCCCCCAGGCCTTAGTCCACTCCTTCTGAAGTTCTCCCAAGTTCTTCAATCGACTTTCCTCGACAATACTCTCAAAGCTTTGGTTATCTTTGTTGCTTGAGCACCTGTTACTACGAGGACGCTGTTCCCATCAACATTTCAGCAATATGCTTCCATACAGCACTCTGCAAACAGCCAGCCTTTGCAGGAATGACCTCCTGTGGCTTACTCTCAGAAGGGAGGAGGGTGTTAAAGATTGTCATGGCAACTGTCAAGTCAGCAGTCTTCCCCACAATTGTTGCATGAGATATACAGTATCTCTCGTATGTTTGCTTCTCAAGGTAAAAGCTTAACACACTAGCTTTCCATTGCCTTTAAAACACAGAGATAAGCAACGGTCAGTTTTTGGCCTATTGACTGTCAGAACCTAAATGCATCACTACTACAAGTGTTCCTCTAATAGCCTTGTTTCACATCTGGAACCACATCTGGGGTCACATCTGAATCACTGCATAATCTGAAATTGATAACAGTTCAAATAGATTGGACAAATATAATAAAAACAGAAATGGAGGCAATCAATCAGACCTTACTGGGTACGGTTTCATTTTAAATTTCTACATCTATAAAATGATATAACAACTCTAACATTTCTTTACTCTATAAAGGAAATCAGGTATGGATACATAACCAATTACAAAAGCAAATGAACAAAACAAACTAAAAAAGCTCCAGATGAAAAATGGATAATGCAAAATGTGTACATGCACTGACTGTACAGTATGTGCAGCCTGCTGCAGTTGCTTTTTTAGTTTGCTTTATTTTTCCATTTATTTCATCTGTATGTTTCTTTTTTATTTCTTTTTTTTTTTACAGTTATTGCTTGTGATCATTGTGAGCTGTTACATCCTGGAAATGATTTGGGGGTTTTTCCCTTAAAAAAATCACGTTAATACTTGCTCCAGACAAAAGAGACTAGAAAGATGGAGACACAAGCTCCATTTCTTCATAGCGAATGGGAGCGCTGGAGAGGAGTGAAGATCACTGCTTACAAGTCCAGTTGTCAATAGGAACATCAAGATCATACTGATTAGCTGCCAGACAGCAATAATATCTCAAATGTGCTGTGCTGACCATCTCTGCAAAACAAGGTGAGAAGGGTTTTAAAACCACCCAAAGTTGTTCAAGGCATGTGCCCATCAGCTGGGTATCAAGTATCTCTTTAACCTCACATCTGTCCCTGTGTTTTAACACAAAGGGACAGATGTGAGCACTTCCTTAACACTTCCTTCCTTCCTTCCTTCCTTGCTGTGAAGAAGAATAATGTGCAGTAAAACAGAGAAGTTAGAGGAGGCTATGTCCAGTAAGTATGTGGCACCATGTTGAGGATGTTTGAGTTTATGGTGGTCACAAGAAAACAAATTGGCCTACTGAGGTAAAACCTGAGGATGAATGACATCAATCACACAAATGGGGGTAGATCTTGACAGTCTGCATCATAAAAAAGGACATTATCAAGACTTTTGGATGTATATAGCGTCCAGTTAAGACCTCACACAGTCACATAGACCAGCTGGCGGCCTTCTGGCAACCTCCGGTCACTAGAGGAAAATTGGGATTCCCCACCATTTGGTAGTGGTTGCTGGCTTTAACCAAGTGAAATCAGTCACAAAGAGATGCACCAGAAATGTCCTTCTGGTTGCTTCGGTCACGGGGAAATTATTGCTGCAACCAACAAATTTCAAAACGCACACTTTTCCCTAGCAGCCTGTGAGTCCCTAGTAACCTGGGTCACTGTTACTAGGGTTACTAGAGGAGTCGCCAGGCGTGCATGCATGGAGATCTAGCAATCAGTTTCACAGTGAGTGCCAGCAACCTTCAGCAACTGCTGACTATCCAGTCAGGGAATACACATTTTTCCGGTGGTTACCAGATGGTCACAGACTGGCGGCTAAGCTAGTCAAGCAGTTCCAGCCAAAAGGTGGATAAATAAACCACTTAACTTCAGATACTTCATACAGGGAAGTCCTTCCTATAGGCATCCATTTATATAATTTGTCAATATATATATAGTTTTTTTATTTTTACTTTATGTCAGCCCGACTTTCTAAAACAGGAGAAAAAAAAAAGAGTGCATGAACGTCTCTGTAGTTTGCAAATACAAGAAGAGCATCCTTCAGTTGGAGACAAAATGTTTTAAAACTGTAAAAGATAAAACATTGTAGTCAAAAACCTGAAGTGGCATCTCTGGATATATATTTTTACTGTAACATTTAAAAGTCATTTTAGACCCAAGTTTTCACAAGGGGTTATTTGGAAAGGTTACAGAAAGCTTGCTTTCAAATAACTCAGAGGAAATGTCAGTTTTAAAGAAAATAAATGAGAGATGCTGCATTTTGTACCCAGTGTAATACTTCGGTGGGCCAAACTCAGTATGAGAGCCAATTTCTGCACACAGGTCCTATTTCAGGCACTTTGGATTCAACTGATTTTGCCCACAGGGGTTATTTTGGGGCACCCTGGTTTAGAAAGCCACGCACGCATCTGCTATAAACATAGATCACAAAGCTGTACATTTAGATAGCTTGCCTATTTTTTGGCACTAGATTGCAGCTCCTTAAACACCTTGAGTTTATTCTAAGAGTGCTATCCACAAATAATACAATAGTGCCCATAATAACACAATGGCAGGATTCCCAGCTCTGTTGATACAGTAGATTTATCAGTGGTGTCCAAACTCTGGCTCTAATGAATTACACAAAGTGGACATGGATTTCTTATTGCAGCGCTGGGTCATATCTACAAAACTGTGGACTATTACATCTTTCTAAGGATCAGTTTGTGCCTTGAGAGTACCAGTTATCTTACTTTAAAGTCACAGTTTTGAGTCAAGGTGACAG